TTTCTTCCTTACTGAATTAACTTAAAAAACAAAAAAAAAAATGAATTACCAAAAAAAAAAGGAATTAAACCACAAAAAAATTGAGTCACCAAAAAAAAAAAAAAGAAGAAATAAGCGTTTCTTACTTTTTCATCTTTAACAAATAATGCTGGCACGAATAAAGACATTCTCTAGAAAATACATGGTGGGTTGCGTGTGGGAGTGTTTGTAGGTTCCCATATTAGAACATAGGAAAAATTTGAATATTGGCACCTCATGATATCTCAACATAACTTGATCTTGATTTAAATTCTGAGTTAGTTCGACGATTTTAAAATAACTTGTCGACATATTATTACTACTTAATACACTTATTTCTTGCATTGTAAGTTTGGCTTGTATTTTTTATGGAGAGTATGCAATGCTCCATTGAAGCATGGTATACATCTGCAATTTTGAGCTAGCTTGGCGGTTTTAAAATAACTTGTCGACATATTGTTGCTACTTAATACACCAATTACTTGTAATACACTTATTACTCGCATCGCAAGATGTACCCGTATTTTTTATGTATACAATGCTCCACTGAAGCATAGTATACATCTACGCACATTTTCAATCTAAAATTTTGGGATTTAGGATCCTAAAATTATTCTTGGATGAGGTTCTACCTAGGGGAGTAAATAGATAATATACTCTGTTTTGGCTTTTAGATAAGGAAGCTTTTGTACAAGAAGAGATTGGCCCATAATTTCCATTAAAGAAGCCTTACTTTGCGAGAATGGTGCACAATTTCAATACTTCCTTTGAATCTTATTGACTGAAGTCAACTATTCTTTTGAAGTTTTTGAATTTTTTTTTCGGGTAATTGATTGGCCATATTTTTGCAGACCATCGTGAAGGGCACAGGAAGAGAGTAAAAGAGTTAATTTATGATGTAAATTTTTTTTTGGGTAATTTAGTGAAGATGCAATGACGAGCCTCTATCTATTTTTGAAATAGTCAATTTTTTATTACGTTAGTAAAAATGGAGATTAACACATCACACAAATGTTAGCACAGGGCTTCTAGGAGAAAAAGCATATCTGCATATGGAATTTGGTCAATGATCTTGACCGTTATTGAAGATTTTGAGCCTTAAAATAGTAACAAAATAGCCGGGCTTCTACGAGAAAAAGTAAATATGCACATGAATTTGGTCACTAATCATGACAATTATTGGTGTTAAAAAAAAGAAAAGAAAAGATCGTGAGCCTTGAAGATAGCAATAAACTATGGAAAAAATTTATTTAAGGTTGCAACTTTATATGTCGAACTTACGGATGCACTTTAAAAATCTATCGAAAAAGGTAGTTTTAATGTTGAAAAACCCTTTTAATGATCATCTCAACATCGATATGTATGACCACGAAAAATAAAATGATTCTAAGTCTCAATAGTTGTGCATTTTATAACATATTATTTACACCGTCCATTTCCAAGATTTTCATATGTTCATAGATCTAATTGATTTTAACCATTTTTGAAATATAAAATTTTATAGGTAGATATAAAAATAGATTTTGAGATAATCCTAAGAACATTTTACATCAAAATTATATACCACGATAAAATTTGAAGGTGCACCTTACCACTACAGCTATGAATGTATCCGTATGCTAACTGCACCCATAAACTATTTGGAGAGTTCAATTTAAGAAATAAGAGATTCGTCAGATCTACACTATTTATTGAGCTTCAAATTTGACAAGCAATAGTGGAATAAAGCCATCACAGGGGTTGAAAATGCGTTTTGGGCAGCATTTTGGGGCTTAGTTTTGACGGGTATAAATTGCATATCCGATAAAAAAGAGAAACCTAAAATAGGCTATGTGTTCTTAAAAAATGGGTCTTGGTTCTAAAATATGAACTATGGGGACTATTTTTTTTAAAAAAAGTATACAAAAAAACCATCCGCTTTTGATATAAGGAGGTTACAATCACTATTGCTTGTCAAATTTCAAATTGAGTGGTTATAATATTGACTAGACTCCAAGTTAAAAAAAAAATTACCGAAATATTGTGTTTGACCTCGAGCCATCCAATTAGACATCTAGTCCCTAGGAATAATTGTGATTATATAAATATAAAAGTCAACAAAATAAATATTGATTAGTAATATGTTTCTTTATGTTTTTAATCAATTTTGGCAAAGATTAGAAAGGGTTTTGCCCATTAATACTTAATTTTACTTTAGTTTTTTAGATTATTTATAAAATACCTTCAATCACTAATTGAGTTTTTCAAAATCCATTTTTTTACTACTTTTTTAACCTAATTTATATGTATTTTGTTTAATTTTACTTTAAATATAATTTTCATATATTTTTTAAAAATTTTGTTTTATATTTTTTAGCCAGAATCAACCCGACATGGGCTGAATAACTTAAAACTCGGCCCAAGTCACTCCTACTTGGGCTCGGCCCTTGGTCGAGTCATGGTTTCTAACACTGTGCTCCAATACTCTGGCGTGCGTAAATAATATCCAAAGGCGCTACCTTCCCCTTATTCTATTTCTCTAGAAAATTGGGGCAAAAATCTACTAGGGGTGGCAACGGGTCGGGTCAGGTCTGGTTGGACTCGGACTCCGACTCAAACCCAAATGTATTTGGATCCAGGTTTTGAACATGGACCCGTACTTGTCGAGTCCAAAAGTTGGACCCAGACCCGTACCCGTCGGGTCCCAGGTCAATCGCGTCGGGTCGTGAGTCTGGTTGGGTCTATTGCCACTTTCACTATGAGCTTCATTTTGTTTTTTTTTTTGAAAATATCTCCTTATCTCCTATTTTTCACTTTCATATCTCATGAGACTCGAGAATTGAAAATATTACTTGTAAGCAAAAGGTTTCAATCTTTTCTATCTTACAACCCCTTGAGCTCGAACACAAACACACTTTCTTATGTATGAGAGAGAGATGTAGTTTTAGAGAGAGAGAGAGATATGAAGTTTGGGTTTTTAGAGAGATGGAGTTTATTGAGAGAAAAGAATGGAGTTGAGTTTGGGTAGGAGAGATAGAGTTTAGTAGAGAGAGAGAGACGATGATGTTAGAGAGATGAAGTTTGGGTTTTAAAAAGAAGATGGAGTTTTGTAGAGAAAGAGAGAGATGATGATGTGAGAGAGAGATAGAGTTTAGTAGAGAGAGAGAGAGAGAGATAGAGTTGTTCCATAATTTGTTGAGGTCGATAATACATAGTCAAAAGGTTTAGGGGGTTGGAAGATAGAAAAGATGGAGTCTTTTTGCTTACAAATAATATTTTCAATTCTTGGGTCTGATGAGATATAGAAATTAAAAATAGGGAATAATAAGATATTTTTCCTTTTTTCATTGCCCTTTCATTACCATCATATGCTCG